GGGGGGTACTTACCTCCTCCTCCTGCTTCCTCCTCTGCCTCCCCCCCCCGCGAGTATCGTGGGTCCGCCCCTTGTATTGTCTACTCTACATGAATCCAAGCAGCAGCACTCAAATCCTATAATGCTGTTTCTGCTTTTCCCATTTCAAAGGCAGGAACACAAGATGGGAGATCTCTTCACTGGATAGCTTATCAGCCCTCTACATGCTAATTCAAACGCAAAGAATCCTATCCCCAAGGAATATTTTTTATTAAACTGCCATTTGCATTAGAATTCTCACAAGCTGTTCAGTTTACTAATTTCTGGTTGAAAAGCTAGACAAAATAATAAGACAACTGGAAACAGAACATATCCCAAATGAAGATATCAGTTTGTAGTGTGTTCTACAGTGTTCCTGCATTTTCCATGTTCTGCAGAGGGGGGAAAGATTCTGTTTGGGCCATGAACAGCATCATGTGTTTCATGGTGGATCAGATGTACTAAAACAGAACTACAGAGGCCTTAAGACCAAGAGAAAAAAAAGAGTCACTGTCTGGAATACAAAGTTTAAACCAATACTCAATTTTCACTACTGAAGAAGTTCACTAGCTTGGAAGTTAGTCTTCATTTTCACTGAAGCAGTGAATGTCCAACATACAGGGTGTAGGGTGTTTTTTTAATTACCAAAATTTAATATGTGATTTCAGTAATCATGAATGTATAAAGTACCAATCCTAGTACAATATAGAGAATTGTACTTGCTACTTCACATATCCTTGTCATCCCTAAACACTTATGAACAATTCACACCTAGATTGTAACAAACAATAACACAACAACACATTGACAGTGCATCTTGAAAGTAATTATCACAGACCTATGTAGCAACAATTCTAACCTAATCCTGCATTAAAAGCATGCAATACTTACTGGCTCTAAATCCACCTCAGAACCACGTATAACTGGTTTACTTCGAGCATGTGGAGAGTTCAAAGCAGATTCCTTCAGGTGCTCCCTCACATTTTCTGGTGACAGTAAATCATACAGCATCTGACACATGGAAAACATGAAAACAACAATCTCAATTTATTCAACATTTTTACAACATTTAGACATTATCTGTTCTAGATCTCCTGAAAAATCCATTCAAATCCCTACTGCCTTAAAGAGATTACCACAAGTCTTCATCTGGCCAAAGAGTCACATCTTATTCTACAGTACTGCTGTGCAAAGAACATACGTGTACAAAGTTCTACAGTTCTCAACATCTGTGCTAGTACTCTTCACAGTTAGTTGTTGTCAAACTTTAGCTTCAACGCAAGGTGTTTTTGAACAAAAATTCACATGTTTCAGAGTCACACCTGCTTAACCAGCTAAGCTCTTTAATTAGTAACTTTCTTCTCTCACAGAAAATGTAGACATTGGAAATAAAGTATTAACAGTGAAAGTGACAGTTAAGCATCATGCTGTAATAATTTACAACCCAAGTACCTTTTCAACTTCTAGTTTTGCTGGAAGAAATCCTTCATCAAGAGCCAGGCAGTGAAGAAAAAGCTGTAAGGCATCATCTACAGAGCCAGCACTATCAAATACTTTTGCTCGTCTAAAGTACACCTGAAAAAAGCATTTTATATTTTAAATACAATACAGTAATTATTTGATTTATGCGACAAAGCAGATGCCTGAGCCTAAGCAAGTGTACTCTAAAGTCAGCCCCACTGCCTTTTATTGGACTTGCTTTCTGTGGAACTGGAGGCTCTGACTGATCTTCCACCATTCTTCCCATAAAAATTTCAAAGAAATGAAACAGACTTTACTCTTAAAACTATTGTTTGGAAGAAAGTGAAATGCTACAGAAGTTACACAAGGGGGCACAAGCCTAGTTGAAACCAGACTTTATAGGAATTAGTGTCAGCAGAAAATGCTGACCTTATATGTTCCTTCATCACTATTTCCTACACAACATAAAACCAACAAGAGTAAACACCACAAAGGACTAACAGCCCAAGAAGCTGCTCATTGACTCCTTGTTTGAGCCAAAACACACACACTGGATTTCAGTAGTGAGCATGCTGTTCTTGAAGTGTACTCTGGCTGCAGGTCCAACACTCAAGTCTTCTTTCAAGGACTGGGTTCAAGGAGAGAAAGGAACTATCTAGAAAAGGGGCAGTAGAATCCAGCTTTGCACATATATGACACAAGGGCTGGCCAAACTTTACAATCACACTTGCCTAAGACCTGGCTCTGAACAGTGCCAGTTAGGTGGTCTTTGCGTCTGTCAGGAAAGTATCTCCCCTTCCTCTATTAGAGGTGATTTCAAAGTTTAAATAAGCCACAATAAAAGGGTTTGAAAAGGACCAAAAAACTCAAATGTTAAAAATAAAAGTTTAGATACCACTGAAAAGGAAAGCAAAAATTAGCAGACAATCTGCCTAAGTAGACTTGGGGGTGGGGCACTTTCAATCTGCAGGATATATACGTTTACTGAAAAATGAGAATGGAGAAAGCCAGAATTTTGTCACCAAGAAACCTGCACTTTGTTCCTCTTTGAAGAAATGTTAGCCTTCTCTGTCTAAAACTATCCTGTCAATCTTTCTATTGGCATCTGAGCAAAGATTCTGTCAGAAAAACAAGTTAGGCTATCAGGTGATCTTTTTAAAAGTAGTTCTGTAATTTCCTCCCTACAAAGGCCAAAGCCTGCTACCACACTGCACACTTACAGGATGAGTGCCCAGCAAGCAGCAAACATTAAGGTTACATGACTTCTGATTGGAGAATGTAACACAGGACCTTAGGAACACACTGTTGTATCATGTGCTGCAGTTTCCTTAATAGTTTCAGGCTTACTATTTGCTTTATACTATACTGGGCTACAGTTAAAAGTATCTATTCCAAATGCTTTATTTTAACCATAATGCAATTCCAGGGTATGACTGGAAGGAGCACAATTTGTTAACCTTGCTGAAACTAAGCAGGTCTGGTAGGTAGGATCAGTGTTTGCATGGTAGGTGCCTAAAGCCCTGTGGACGTCCTCTTGTGTTCTATGACAGGAAAAAGACAGGATATGTAAGAAACAGTAGTTTTCGTTTGAGTGATGAAGTGGGGGAGCACAGAGAACCCCATTAATGCTACATTGCTGAAATAAGAAGGATATTGTCAAGTCAATTATTTCTTAGAGCTGCAGGGAGGGATCACTGAGCCTTTGTCTGCTAAATTATGTCTACCACTGGCCTCTATGCACACAGCCCTCCATCGTTCTACACAATGCAGTTTAACAAGTTAGCAACAATCTGCCAGAAGTGACCTGCATTATGCATCATGAAACATACATACAACAGGCTCACCTTCCAGAAGCAATCTCTGTCCTCATTCATAAGACATTATGGTGCATGAAAGCAAGTCAGATTCAACTTCAGAAGTCTATTTCTACATTTTTTATAATGCATGTATACCATCTTGTCACACCCAAGTAATCTGAACTTACCTCAGGCCAATTTGGCATTTTAGTGATAACAGCATTCAGGTCATCTAGGGCAAATTTAAATTCTTGGAGGGCAGCAGAAGATTCAGCTCTATAAATCCTCAGCATCAAGTCACTAGGATCTAAAAATCAAGATTTCCATGCATGTAACTCTAGAACACAAGTTACGTAACTTTCTGTAATTCAAAATACACCTGAAGCACAGGCTTGGAACACAGTCTACTGTTTGAGGAAAATAAGATGAAATTTCTAAAAACCAATCCAGAAACCTTCCCCCAAACTGAATATATCTACTATAAAAATTAGAAAATTCAACTGAGTTTTTCCCTCTTATGTTCTTAAAACCTTGCTATAAAATAAATTTCCCCTACAACGCAAATAGCCACTTTTTACATATTCCTATTCAAATTAGCCTTTTAAAAATAGCTCAATATGATATTTAAATAAAATTGAGAATAATATATTTTGTGGGTTTTGTGGTTGCAGAACATCAGAAATATACTTTTAACAATATGAAAACAAAACAGTAGGATGCAGGAATGTTTCTGAAAATAAGTATACAATTGCCCAAGGCAATGATAATTCAAACACAAAGCACAAGCTACAGTGCAAATGCAGCACTGGCAATTTCCATATTTATGACTCCACAGCTGGTTGGTGATAGTCACATGAGTCGAAAATTAGGAAGAGCTGGACTGTCACATAATAAAGTTATAAATAGTCACAGCCTTTGGGCTTTCTTGAAGGTTGCTCTTGCTCCTGCAGTGTACCACAAAAAGTACCAGTAACTTTTTAGTCTATGTAAACCAACAGTGTGTCCTAAAAAGTTATGGACACCCCGAGATATCAGCTTTGGTTTACTGAATATATGTGAAGCAGCTATTAAGTGATGCTATGGGAAGTTAGTTTGAAATGGGGGTAGTAAGACTAATTTTAGAAGAGACTTCTTACATTGTGACAATTAAGCTATCCAGAATTTGGAGTTTATGAATCTTACAGGATAAAAGAAATTACTAACAAATGCTGTGTTGAGTAGGCTCTGTGGCAAAATAGTGTCGATATGCTACCTCATCAGCAAATGTGTGTTTCCCATATATTTAGGAGAGAGTTTCTGGTTTTGCTGCAAAACCCCAACTCTTAAGTCCTATAAATATGGCAGAATATGCTGCATCCCTAACTTAGGATCTCATTTGAGAAGTCAAAGGCACTCCTGTAACAACTTGATTCTCTTCTACTCCTGGCTTATATTATGGATATCATACTTGCATATCAAGGTATATAATTCTCAATGTGGTCAAACCTGTGGATATTTAAGTCTGGAAACTGGATCAATAAACAGACAAGACTTTTCTACAAAGCTGAAAAATGCCCCATTTTTGTAGAAAAATCTGAAATTTTAAAAAAACCACAAACCAAGACACTGGGGAGGTTAAATTCTGTGGGCTTAACCTCCACAAAATAACAGAATAACCTGTAGTTTTAAGAAACAAATGCCCCAAGTAGCCACAACAGTACAGCCTGCTATCAAACCTTCATTTCTATCAGTAAAAGGCAGTGGAAGGGGGCAGGGCCCTTTTCAGGGCTGTTTTGGCCTTAGAGGGAGAACTCATCAGGGCCAGGCCTGGCAGCAACCACCAAGCAACTCAATACAATGTGACTTACATAATTCACCGAGAACTGGTTTGCTTGTTTAGAGCTATATCTGAAGGGCATCAATCTCATAACAGATAATACCCAGTAACAATCTGCTTCTGTCTCCTCTGTGCAAATGTAATGTCACTGTTTTGATGCTATACAGAAATGGTATGAGCTTTATACTGCTCCAGAGTGTGAAAATATTTGTATTAGGCTCTATAGTTTGAAGTCTGGCTATCTGGTAATAAATTCATAAACAAATGCACAATGGTTATTAATCTCAAACAAAATACCACAACCACCAAAGAACGAATCTTACATTGTCTAAATATCTCTATCTATAATATTCACAAAGAATAAGAACCCAACATAGTTGCATAAAATAACAAAAATCCATCACAGAGATACAAGCGTCTATGATTAAGCCAGAATTCTTTCACACAACATTAGGAGTATTTCTCCAGTGCTAAACATGCTGTAAACCACTCAGTGAATATTTAGCTTAATCATATTCCTTGACCTCACTATATCCTATGTCTTTCCCTAGCACTGTATTGTGAAAGGCCCAACACACCCCTCAATGATGTCACCAGTATTATACAACCTTTTCCACTTCCACGCCTCCATTTGCTTATGCAACTAGCCCCAGCCTCCTGTGAATTGTCTCAATAACACTTAAGACCAAAAATAGACCTCGAGCTAAGAATAATATACCACTGTTGGCCATCAGTATCCCAAACTGGTTTCACAGCCAAAACACTCCAAAACATACTGGTTAGCCCCACCTTCAGTACCAATTTGCCTGGCTCACTAGCTTGGGAAGAATACAGAACAAGCCCCCACCTGTACTTTCAAAAACAGATTTTTATATTATACTGAAGAATAATACGTATAAACAGTTCAGTCAGCATCCTATTAAAGGATGACAGCTGTATAGCAGTCCCTGGAATGCGTCTACCAAAGATACCTTTCTACTTCATGCCTAGTAACAAAATCCCAAAGATTTATTGAAACTCTTGAAAAGTTTAGAAATAAATCAATGGACACCTGCACTCCCTTTTAAAAGCAATGGTGATAGAAATCTGGCAAGTACCTATCCCACTGGGAAGACAGGGAAGATCTCTCACCCAGTCCACATTAAGTTAACCAAGATAACCACCATTAGTTCCACAATCAGGAATAGCCACCTAGAATTCCTTTTAAAGACTAAATGTACTCCAAAAAGCTGAAAAGAATCCACAGCTTCACTTGTGAATCAAATTCCTGCATAAAGTGCATCTCTGTGTAGGAATCCCCTGAACTTCTGCATATGCATGAGGACCATACATATAATCTGATGCCTGTATGAACACCAGGAAACTATGTAGTTGAAACTAGGGACGAAAGTAAGCTGGTATGAGCCAATACAGACAACCCATAAAAAAGTGGCTTCTCCTAATAGTTCCTTTGATACTTTCCTTCACTCACACCAGAGAACACTGGTATGAAACTTAGGATGTCTCAAGCCCTGGCCACAGTTTCCCAGCACATGTACACAGTCCGCTGCTTCAGAGAGCACCAGGTTACAAAACGTTCAGGTGCACCTCAGTATATACACTAAATTGATTCATCCATATCACAACACAGACAATGTTCCCTCTAAGCGGTGGAGTCTTGTGAGCAAAAATTCTACTTTGTGAGCTACTGGCATTAAAGTTGTGAGCGAGTGATTTGGCTACTGCATAAATTAATTGGCTCTGGAGCCATCCTTCCTGAGCTGAGACAAAAATGTGTGAGCTGGAGGCTAAAAAACTGTGAGCTAGCTCACACTAACTCAGCTTAGAGGGAACACTGAACACAGCCAATCAGGCAGCTTTTCACGCGCAGTGCCTTACTCACACATGCTAGACACTCCTTGAGGCTGAATTATCCAAGTATGCACCTGGAACCACGGCCGCACTCCCTAAGGCGCGGGCACAGTGCACAACTTTGGAGAAATGCCTGCGTGTTCATCCGCTACAGGAACGAAAACCGGAATTCCCCACCAACAGTGACAGACAAGGCTTGCGGCACCTTAAAACTTAAACATCCGTTTCGGCACAGGCTTGGGTCAGACCCTCCTCACTTCGGGGGCTCACGCGGAGCAGCACCCATCGGGTGACGCGAGCCTTGTCTTGCCCCCAAAGGTCTGGGCTGGAATAAAACTCGGCAAGGCTTCAAAACACCACAACCAGTGATCCCTCTAAGCTGAGTTGGTGTGAGCTAGCTCAGAGTTTTTTAACCTCCGGCTCACACATTTTTGTCTTGGCTCAGGAAGGATGGCTCCAGAACAAACTAATTTATGCAGCAGCCAAATGGCTTGCTCACAACTTTAATGCCAGTAGCTCACAAAAATAGAAGTTTTGCTCACAAGACCCCACAGCTTAGAGGGAGCATTGCTATTTGCTCCCAACGTCTTCATCCCCCACTGAGTCCCGACCTCATTTTCAACTTGGAAACAGTTCACCCGCGGGTTGGTCGCGCGCCCAGCGGGGTGACAGTTGGTGGGGGCGCGCGCGACTTCGCGGCGCTCGGCCGTTGCCCGCTCGCGCCCACGGCAGCCAGGCGCGCGCGGAGGGGGCGGGCGAGTGGGAGAGAGAGAGAGCGAGAGAGCGCTCCACCCTCTTGCCTGAACTAGCGGAGCCAAGTGTCCCGCCTCAGCGCCGCCAGGTCCGGCCGGGCTGCTCCCGTCCCCCGCTCGCTCATCCCCTCCGCCCGCCTCTTCGCCGGGCCTTCCTTGCGCCTCAGGGGAAATGGTCCGGCCGAAGCGAGGCAGAGGAAGGAGGCGGGCGTCCCCGCCCAAGCCCCCAGCCGACGATGCCGCCGCCGCCGCCGCCCCTCCTCCTCCTTCTCCGTCGGCTCCCTGCCGCCCCGGTAGCCGGAGGCGGTAGTGCCGCACCAGGCAGTCCACCAGCGGGCTCAGGCGGCGGCGCGAGGCCGGGCCGAGGAGGCGCAGCGCCGCCGAGTAAGTCTCCAGCGCTTCTTTCAGGTGGTTGCCCAGCGCCAGCAGCTCCCCGCGCCGCAAGAGCCGCTCCTGCGCCGACGGGGCGTCGCTCCTATTGCCATTGCTGCCGCCGCCCGGCTCCGGGGTCAGCTGGACGCGCACGGCCAGCGGCGAAGACGCCATCCTCACGCCCCTCCGCCGCCGCCGCTGCCTCTGCCTCCTTCTCCGCGCTGCCTCCGGATCCCGGAGGGGGGTGTGGCACGAGACGCCAACGGCCGCCGCCACCGCCGCTACGAGAAGGACTGAGAAAGGCGGTTGGGCGCGCCTGCGCGCTGCCGAGCGGCTTTCTCCAACCGTCGTTATTCGCCGCCCCGCCCCCGCGAGCCTCCTTCTCGCCCGCTACGACTGTTCTTCCCCGGACGAGCCCGAGGAGGACATCGCCTTCTGCCGCCCGACCCCCTCCATCGCGGCCGGCCGCCTCAGTGGCCGCGAGACCACCCGAACCGCCACCTCAGTCTTACATAAAAGGTCGCGTCACCTGACTTTCCACGGAGGCTGACTTTCCATTGGTTGACGGGGGAGCTGGGAGGAAAGGGGGCGTGGCAGGGTAAAATTATAAAACAAGACCACGTGCTTAGCCCTTTCCCGCATCTTCGTCGTTCGGTCGGTTGCGGAAGGCGTGGCTCGGGAGATGCACCCGGGTTGGGAAGGGCTGGTTAGAGCGCTCGTCGGTGAGAATGTCGGTGTCTGTTCTTCAGGTTTCCAATCCGCTGGCTGGACTGATGGAGTTTTGCTGAGTTACTTTACAGCCAAGCCTAACTCTATATGGGATTGCACTGTCAGTCTCACTGAGCCTGCTTGATTTGTGATAGGCAAATGTTGGAATCACTTGGAGACCGGGGGGGGGAGGGAGGAGGAATCTCCCAAAGCGGCTCTCCTTTGTTTAGGATTAGCGATTACGTCTCAGAATAATGAGCAAACTTTAGAGATCCTGAGAACGCCTTGCCAAGGGACTGGGTTACTTGTTCAGTTGTTAACTTCTTTCTAAGCGTTTGTTCCGGTCTCATTTTGACTGCTAGGCCTGAATTTCGATGGGAAAGTCCAAGAAGGAGAAATAACTGTGTTTGAACTTTGCTGGGACGATTCAGCAAGCTGACCTCATATCTTAGATAAGAATCCAGGTGCAGGGACTCAGGGAGGGAAGTGCCTATCTCTGACTCCCTGTTTCCAAGGCTGGCACATTGGTACCTCAGCAACCAATTAACCACATTCCATTCAATGAAGTGTTGCGATTCTCATCTGCTAGAGCTGGGAGGATGAGGCTGCGGATCACCCTGTCAGTTCAGTATTGGCGGACCTTCTTGTGGTCACCTGCCCAGTAAGTGGGTTATTGTGTAGTGGGTTGCCGCATGGATGGACGACAGACAACGACGTGGTGCATAGCACGCTTTATTAGGCACACAACAAGACATGGGACAAACGGCCCCGGGGATTCAGGTGGGTAGCTGTGTTGGTCCGAAGTAGTAGAACAAAGTTTGAGTCCAGTGGCACCTCTAAGACCAACAAAGTTTAATTCAAGGTGTGAGCTTTCATGTGCACTCACAGTTCCTCAGTCACATTGGAATGAAAGTTATCAGTCCTGTCATAAAGGTAAAGGTTCCCCAGTCGAGTCCGACTCTAGGGTTGCAGTGCTCATCTCCGTTTCAAAGCCGAAGAGTCAGTGCTGTCCGAAGATGTTTCCGTGGTCATGTGGCCGGCATGACCAAGGCGCATGGAACGCTGTTACCTTCCCACCAAAGTGGTCCCTATTTATCTACTTGCAATTTCTTGCTTTCGAACTTCTTGCTTTCCTCGGTCTTGGCTTATAAAGATTCTCTTGTTTTTCATGTGCTCCTGCCAGGTGGCTCTTTGCTCCTTCCCCTGCTGGTTCATTCCTTTCAATTCAGGCACATTTCTCTCCTGCGCCCTCCGTTCTTGGTATCTGACGAAGGGAGCGTTAACTCTGGAAAGCTTATACCTTGGAAATCTTGTTGGTCTTTAAGGTGCTGCTGGATTCCAGTTTTGCTCTTCTGTGTAGACCAATATGACTACCCATCTGAAACTATCCCATTAATAGGATTTACTTCAGAGTGTACATGTTTAGAGTTGCACTGTCAGTCGTTCTTGGATGCCTGAAAATTTTGAGTGTTGACATCTGTTGGGCTTGCAAGTGCTGCTGGGAAGTGTATTTCCCAGCAAGGAGAACAAAATGGGAAAAATACAGACAATGGATTTTGAAAGAAAATGTTTCTTCCCCATCCTTTTACAAGTGAGACTTAGTTCTTCTGAGTTCCAGCATGCCTGCATTTATATTTGGGTGAGTCATCAGCATCTTGGATCCCATAGAACTGTCCATGCCAGGTCACCACAGGTTGGTTTAGTTATGTGGAGGAACAGCTAAAATCCTTCGTAGAAAGTTATTTATTTTTTATTCAAACAAATTTGTGGAAAGTTATGAAGCGTACACACAACACACAGAATGTAAATAAAAATCCTGTATTTGAAAGGTAATGTTAAATACAGAGGAACTGTAAAGCTGTGAAGTAGATGTGAGATCATTTTATTTCTGTTTGGGAACTAAAACTACACTGTATTTAAGCATCTTGGCTGCTTACCAAGCACACAGAGCTGGTTACCATTACCCAGACAGTTGTATTCGCTTTGAGGTTTTCAGTGAATATTTGTCAGAACCACAGCCAACAACGAAGTACACTCATTCAAGAATGGTAATACTTTTATTGCAGAGCTATAGATGCAGTAACATAAGCACTGTTAAGAATGGCAGCGGCCCCATGGGCAGAATAGGATATAGAGTATTCGTATGCATCCCCCCCCCAGCATTGGCCAATTAGGCACCCTCCCGCATGCGGGATAAAGCTTGGAGACCGTTAGGTAGCTAAAGCTGAGAACCAACACTCTCCCACGGCACCTAGGAAAAACCCAGACAATACAACTCCCTCCTGCACATCTGTATAGATAAGCATTTCGGCGCAAAGCAGGAAAAGCACAGAAAGGAATGCAGTAGCAATTAACCAGACACAGACCGAACTCCCCAACCCCCATGGCAGCGCAGCTGACAGTATTTCTATATTTATATGGGACAAGGCCATCAAAATGCTTCACTTCTAATGAATCAAGTTTATGGTTGATCATTTAGTAGAAGATTTAACCATGTTTACTGGCCTTTAGTGTAGTGCCAATGAGAGATGAGGGCCTAAAACACAGTGGGCTTTAATTGGTTGAAGGCTCTGATAGAAAACCATAAACAGCCACCCTTGGCCTAGCTGGGTGTTGTGTTCTGTGACTCATTCAGAGAGTGTGAAAAAGGAAGCTTTAGTGAGTGTTGTTGAAAGCACCAAAAATGCTGTACAAAGGAAGAAGGTGTTCTCACTTCAGTGTTTTAGTGAGCAAACCTGATCAGAAGGAAAACACTATCTTCATACATATGCTCATTAGGGTTACTAACTTCAAAGTGATTCCTCTGAAATCACAACTGAGCTCCATACTACAAAGATCGCTTCCCTTGGAGGAAATGGCAGCTTTGGGGAGCAGACTCTGGCAATGTTTCCCTGTTAAGTTCCCCCCTTGTCCCAAATTTCTTAAACATCCAAATCTCCAGGAATTTTGCAAGATGAAGTTAGTAGCCCTAGTTCTCTGATACAAAGTTGAGGAATAGAAGGAAGACTACAGAACAAAGCAAGGAAAGTTCTTGAGGTGTTAGCTTGGGGTGGAGACCAGAGAAAGGAAGAATAGCTATCTGAATTTTACTGGGGAGAAGAAGAAGAAGAAGAAGAGATTGGATTTATACCCCGCCCTTCACTACCCAAAGGTGTCTCAGAGCAGCTTACAAACTTCTTTCCCTCCCCCTCCCCACAACAGACACCCTGTGAGGTGGGTGGAGCTGAGAGACCTCTGACACAAACTGCTCTTTTTCAAGGACAGCTGTGCCAGAGCTTGCGACTGACCCAAGGTCACATCAGCAGGTGCAAGTGGAGGAGTGGGGAATCAAACCCGGTTCTCCCAGATTAGAGTCCGCACACTTAACCACTACACCAAACTGGCTCCCTTAGTTGCAGGAGTTCTGGAGGAAGCAATCAGAAGGTGTTTGTTCATAACTGATATCCAGTTAAATACAATAATAAAGACTCAGGTCTTAAATATTTTTCATGTTTTGTTCTTGTTCTACACTGGTCTTTGCGTTTGAGTATTTTATACTTGTTGGCAGTATTCATCAAGCTACAAAGGTATTAAGTAAAAATAGTATTTTATATTTAAGGGTAAATGGTGGCAGCAGAAAACAAGGTGATAAACGTCCCTAAGGCCTCAGTTTCTTCTTACTGGGAAAGTGGCTGAAAGGTGAGACACATAGAATGAATAAGATCCATGTCCGCCACCCCCGCATTGTTAGAGACTGACTCGTAGCCTGGCATTCTGATGTATTTTTGTTAAAACTGAGTTTTGGCCACAAAGGTGTTAACTGAATTTAAATGGTATGCTGGTCATATTTCTAAAATGTTGCTTTGTTGTGCCTCTAGCATATCTTATTGTTTTCTGCAAAAAAAACCCCCAAAACTATAAAATGTCCATTCTTTCAGGTTTGGTTCTAGATATTTTCTGGCTGGAAGGCTAACAAAAGTAAAACATTGTGTAAGGTTTTGATCTCTCAAGTATTGTTCTCAAGTGTCTTTAAAACACCCTCGTTTGGGAAGAGTTCCAGGGAACTTGAAAGCTTGCTCACCGCTTTGCCATTTTTAGTTGGTCCAGAGAAAAGGAATTGCTTTTCTGCTGCTTTTACATATCTTCTAACAGATCACCATGGGTAGCCGTAAGTTTTCTCTGGGAACATTAGACATATCTCTGTTTTCATTTGTGCGGGTTTGTAGCTGGAAACCCCCTGCTGAATGGGCTGTTAATTAAACTAAAGGCATTGCTTTCTTTGGCTAGTTAATGAACAACAGCTAAAATGCTAGCTATTCATTCAGCGTGGAAGCAAAGCATTTTCATACCTCAGGCAAGGAACACACAAGCTGGCATTTACTTACTTATTTTTATTTATATCATATTTTCTCTATGTTCAGAGCAGTTTACAGGTGCATTAAAACAGCAAACAAAAAAACAGTACCTGGGAGCTGCATGGATACACTACAATGAAAGTCACGACCAAAAGAAATACCACTCAAATATCTTTTAGAATTCACCACAAAATTCAGTGGCTCTATGATTATGCCACAGATTCAGTATAAAGCCAAATGGAAGAAAAATGTCTTGCATCCCTTCCAAAAAGACAGAAAGGAAGACTCTTTCTGTATGTCTGCTTCCTGGAGAATGTAATACACCTCACCTCAGGATCTTTTACAAAGATCATGGGTGTACATATGTGGTTGATAACACTGGTACTACTAAAATGCTTCCACACTAAGCACCCGCATGTGTTGCTTGTGCCGGTGGGCTAACCCTGA